TGGGGGAGAAAGGGACATCGCATGGTCAGCCCCAGCCTCTCTCAGAGGCAGAAAAGTCCCCTCCCTGCCCAAAAAGAGGGGACCGGCCACCCAGCCCCACGCCAAGGCCATCACCATAAAAAAAAATTGCACCCAATGTAACGTGCCAGTGTTTGTCCCCAGCTCTGCCCTCTTTGCTATCCAGCTCTCTGCTGACATCATCCCGGCAGGACTTAGAGACCTCAAGGGAAAGGCAGGATTTCCAGCCAGGTGAACTTTTCTGGTCTGCAGGAGCCATAAACCTATGGCCCCATCACGAGACCGGGGATTTTCCAGCTCCCCAGCTAATGCCATAAATTGGACAAATAACCTTATCTGCTCCAGCCTATGTCTTCCAGAGCGGATGGAGAACCAACCCACCGTCCTAGCCAACCCCCACGGGGTCCAAGCATCCCCCCAAAAGCCAAGGACCATCCCCAGTCAAATGGCCGAGCCCTGCCCAGTGCATCATGCAGGAGGTAGCTGAAAAGTTGCCCCAGGGCCCCTTCCATGCAACTTAACCTCAGAAAACGCCCTGTGAGGTGCTAGGCAGTGGGGAGATTTATTTAATGGCTCTATAAAACAAGCTGAGACAACCCCTGCGTGTGGGCCCCTGCCTGGGGAGCAAAGCGCTGACTCAGGCATCCTCTCGTGCCCCAGAGTGTCACTGCTCGGCGAGAAAATGGCCTCTCTGGGCTTAAAAGTTAAGCCTTTCACTTCAAAGCATGCGCACACAACACGCATGGGGAAGTCTCCAGTCACTCGAGCACATCCTGTACCCCCGAGGGTTCATTTGCTGTCCTGGCAAGGTACATCAGCCACGAATGCCTGAGCTGCTCCACCTCAGAGAGCAGCAAAAAGGCAGCTGCTTTGGTGCTAGGCTCAGCTTAGCAAGCTAAACCATCTCCCAGAGCTCAGACAGACCCCGGGACAGCGTGGAGGTTGCACAATCGGCCCTGAGGAGGGACGAGGCAGGGAGAAGATGGCTCCTTCCAAGGGCACCAAGCTGCTAAGGCAGCCAGCCCTATTCTCAAGCCATGCTCTGAGCTGCAACACTGACGTCCATGGGGTAGGGCTTAGCCTCTCACTTAATCCCCCCATCCCATAGCGCTGGTACCAACAAGCAAGTGTTAAATCCAGCCCGTAAATCTCAGTGTGGGCTGAAAACCTCGGTGTCGCTCCGCTGCCTGCCTCCTGACCGGCTGAGCAGCTTTTCCTCCACAGGGTTCCTGCCCGGAGGACGGCCGTGCTGCTCCAAGGAGCCATGTGATACTTTGGAAGCTCCTCCGCATTTTTCTGCTGCTCCAAGCCATCGTCGGGAGGCCAGCAGCTGAATGTGAATATTTGCTTCTTGCTTAAGGGCTCCGCTGAGTCCAGGACGGCCACATGCCAGCTAGGGCAGATAGCTCCCAATTAGCAAGAAGGCTGGAAGGTCTCGGGTCTGCTCATCAAGGTGAGGTAACTGAGTGACAGGTGATGCTCCTGCCTCTGACAGCCCTTTGGGAGCCACCTTTGAGTGCAATCATGCCTGGCTCGAGAGGAGAAGGCAGTGCTTTGAATTCTGAGTTTCAAAGGTGGAATAACTTTACTGGCTTCCAGCCTAAAAAAAGTCACAAGTGGCAGTGAGAGAGATCAACCCCCAAAGGAAACCCCCGTCTGCTGTGATGCAGAAAACTGATGCCAAGCCACAAAAAGTCCTTGGAAGAGACCATGGGAACAGGTTTGCCACCTCTCCAATTCCTCAAGGGGAGAGGGGTGGAAAATGCGAGATGGCTTTTCTCCCCAGGAGATGGCAATGGGTAGGCGACCATCCTGATTTTCTCTGGAGGACTCTGCGTGATTCATACCACTGGAGCCCCCTCGGCACATCCCTTCACAAAGAGGGTCCCTCTCCCAGGCGTTCATGAGGCATCTAAGCAGCTTTCAGGAGCCCTGAAGAGCGTTTTCCTGGATGTTGCCCTTCCCTTCTCCTCCTGCCGGGCCTCAGCCCGGCATGTGAGCTGTGCCATGGCTGTAGGCTCTCCCTCCGTGAGGTCCCCTTGGGTGGTGGCACGGATGAGGCATCACACCATGGTTTGATCTGGTGATGCCATGGTGGGTCCCACCGCGGAAAGTGGCAGACCAAGAAGGGCACCTCCAAGGGCACCTCTTGGATGCGGCAGCAGCACTGGCAGATGGACCATGGGCCAGTGCTGGGTTATCCCCCAGCCCGGTGGTCCCAGGCAAGGGAGAAGAAATGATCTGGGTTCTTCCTTATGAACAACAGAAGCTTTTGGAGCTGTTTGCCTGTTATTTTAAAGGCAGTTTCTGTTTCCATTTAGCTCCAGTCTGTCTTCTCTGGCAAACCATCTCGAGATACCCAGCCTGGGACCAGGGTCACTGATGGTGAGACCACCCATCACAGCCCCCACCTCTGCCAGGGAGGGCTGTGGGTGCTTCTCCCACCCATCTCCCAGCAGCAGGCTGGCACCAGAGCAGCTCTGCATGGGTTGGGGACCACACGTCCCTACAGAACAAGAGACCTTCACACCTCCATGGCTCCTGCAGAGATCCCTGCTCAAAACACACTCCCGTCCTCAGGCACGTGACTTACCATAACCTCTGCCTCCAGGACTCTGAGGACATATCAGGAGAGAGACTAAAGTCCTTTTGGAGCCAGCAACCAGGCATGAACAAGCCTGAGCTGGGTTAGAAAATAAACTACCTTTTACCATAGACCCTCCACCTGACCTCACGGACCTTCGAACTTGCCCACTGGCAACGTGACACAGAAAATTGTTGCGCTGTGCTTCAACAAAAGCCCTGTCCCCCATTTCCCCTTCCCCTGAGCACGCATCCTTCAGCTGGAAATCATTGCCTAATCTTAACAGGTCTATTTTCCTTCCCTGTTTCGCCACTCCCAGGCTGGCCAGCAGTAGAAATGGGCAGCGGTGGTCCTGAAGGGGAGGGGAAGATGACGGGTACAAAGGGAGCAAAGGGCTTGTGCCAGCAGTGGGGGAAGACCACACTTTAGCACACACTGTCCTGGTCTCTCAAGCATCCCCCTCATGCTTTCCAGCTCAGGATGAAACATCACCAGCATCTCCCAAGTCAAACATGAGGCTGGTTTCTAACCCTGCTGCGCAAAACAGCTGAGCTGGCTTGGGGACAGGGGAGGGATGTAACGTGGGAACACGCATACGGCTTCAATTTGAAAAGCGGCTAAAAATAGCACCACGAGGCTCCCACGTTCATTGGGTCTCTCCGGCAAGAGATCAATCTTTTTGGAAAAGTGCTGTAAAAGTTTTACTTCTCTATTCCCATCTTGCTTTTTCAGGAGGCAACAGAGATGTAGTTAACAGCAGCACTTCAGCCTCCCTCAGTAGGTTTCAGAGTTGATCACTAGTACCTGAGGGCATGGCTCATCCCTCCCAGAACCACCACTTTGGCTTCAGACCTGTATCTAGCCCGTGTGAGCTATAACGTGACTTGACAAAGGACAGAGTAATTTTTTTTTCGCTTTACCAGATTTTCTGGGGCATGAGTCACTGTAAAAAGCCCCGGCTTGCGGAGCTGCTGCGAGCCGGTCCCACCACACTCCTGGCTGGCTGCTGGGAAAGCTGGGCCTGCCAGCCAAGGCTCATCCTGCCAGAGCCGGAGGGAAAAATATGAGGTGGCCACAATACATAAGAGCTTTTAAATGGGACCTTGCCCAGGCTCACTATTGCTCTAATTGCCCTGCTCCTTTAACAAGGAATAGGGCCGCTTCCCCTGCCAAGGTCTGCTCAAATCAGGGGCTGCGCTGATCAGGGAGAAAAGAGGGGACACTACGAGTGGGATATTGTCTCTGCCCTATTCTTAGATCCCCATATGACTAAACCCAACATTTCCAGATTCCTACCAGAAGCAAAAACCCCATATGCTCAACTAGATTTGTTTTTGGGGGGGGAAATATAACGTGTTACATTAAAATTTAATGCAAGTGGGGGGAAACCTCTGAAATCCTTGCCCTGCAGCCCAAACAGTGGCTGCAACCCTGCCCTGCCCACGTTTCATCATTTTTTGCAACCTGCCATGCTTCACCTTGACATTCATCGCTCACAGGATGAATCTAGCGGCAACTTTTTGGCACGCTCTTGGGCTGCCCAAAGACTTCTGCACAAAGCTGCCCAGGCAGGTACAACTCAACACCCGGCTCAGCTTAGCAGATTTTGAGAGCTCTGCGTGCTTTGCTTTCCAATCACAGTGACGAGACCCCCCCCGGCAGTATCTCATGCACTCCTCTGCCTTCGGAGAGGCAGCCCTCTTCTCCCATGGGAGCATGGCTTGGGTTTCTCGCTCTCCCCACGTTCATTTTGATGCCACCTCCCTGAAAGGAAGGGAGGAAAACCCAGGGTCCTGCCCCCTCCTCCCACCAATCTCCTTACCGATTTCTCCACCTTGCCTTGACTATTAAGCCCATTATTTCCCAGCGAGCTGAGGAATTGGTGTCCCTTGCCCCAGATCCCATCGCATTAAAGATGATGTCCTGCCAACTGCCACGACGCTTGCTTTCCAGCCTCCGCCGCAGCTCCTTAAAAAGCCAAAGCAAAACCTACCAACTCTGTGCATTGAAGCACACAGCTTTGGGGGATGAGGCTTTTGCTGGGCGAGCATCTCACTGAGCTGGGTGGAGGGATTCACTTGACTTGGCAACCCGAGCACAAGCCTGTCTTCATGCTCCGGCTGGTCTAGTTGTTTCTTAACGAAACAGGCTCTGACAATGCTATTTAATAAGGAGCTACTTTGCCTCCGGGGACGGGAGCGAGAAATATGGTGCCTCAACATGTGAAAGGCAAGTCCTGTTTGCTCTGAAACCGTCTGCCGGCAAGCGAGGGAGGCTTGTAGAAATGGTTTTGACTCTGAGGGAGCTTGGTACTTGGGCTGCTTGACCCCGTCATCCCTGTCCCACCCTGCCTGGGGGGTGCTCGGGGCCTTTGGCGAGGCTGGTTGGGTGCTCTGACCTGATGATGAAGGCTCCTCTGGTCTCCAGGAGTTTCCGTTCGCTGCTGAACCGCTTGAGCAGGTTGATCATGAACTTGTAGAAGTAGGAGTTCATGGTGGGGGTGGAGGGCGAGCACTCCAAGCCTTTCATACCTGGGGAGACAGGAGAAGGGGAAAGCCAATTAGATCAGCTGGGGCCTTCCTGCCAAAGCAGTCTCCACCAGAGCGCAGACACCCAAAATACGGTCGCAGCACTCGGCAGAGGAGGGTTGGGGCACGACAAGATTTCCAAATCTCATATAACCACATCTACTTGTTTCAAGCAGACCCAGCCCTGCTGCAGCTCTCTCCATCCCAGGGGAAAGCGTCTTGTGGTGGTCCTAGCCCGTGAAGCAGCATGCAGTGAGGAAACGGGCTTTTTGGGAGATCATCCCGGAGCTGTTCAGCTTCAGTGGCTGGATAGGAGAAAAGGTGCCCGAGGCTCTAAATCAAGAGGCAATCCCATCTCCCCAGATATGGCATGTACACTCATCCCCAAAAAACAAATCGCTGGTGGATTGAAGAGCCTTTAATCCAGCCCCACATGCCACAGATGCCCTGAGCCCAGTGTGTACGTAGCGGCAGACACACACGTTCAGCCCTGGGTCACAGCATGACCACTGGTTTACGCTTAGTGATGTGATTTCCCAGGAGCAGGAGCCACTTGATGCAACAATGTCACGTATGTGCCCTGGGGCTAGCACAAAGTACTGGTCAAACCACAGCAGAGCTCCAAGCTTAGTGACTGTACCAAAAAAATAGGTTTTTTTTCTTTGTTCTCTGTTTGCAAAAAACCTTTATAACAAAAGAAGCTGAAGGTTAGGGAAGGGGGACTGGCACGAAGGAGCAGTGGTCCCTCCAGCCTGGAGCACCCCTGCTCCTGGAGCACCTCCCGGCTCGGGGCACAAACCCACTTCTGCCCAGAATGCAAACAAGCCTTCATGTTAAGGCAGTAGCTATCACAGATCACATTTATAAGTCTCAAAGGCAGAAAATTAAGGGTAATGAGAGTGGCTGGACTCTCCAAGCAAGAAGGGTGTGGGAAGTGCCCCGGCCGGAGGGAAGGGGGAGGGTGTGAAAGCAGGAGGGTGGAAGCAGAGAGAGGAGAGATGGCAAGAAGAGATGGTGTGCTCAGGAGAGCCTAGATGCGCTCCAACAGACCCAGACCCAATGTGCTCCAGGCTTGCAAGGCTCTTTTGTGTTTTATCTTTAGGCATTTCGCTTGGGGCTGGAGGATTTCTAGTGGTACAGGGAAGGCATGCTCTGCACCCTCCTGTCACGCAGGGCACCTGGAGCTGGAAGCCTCTGCTCACAGCCTCTGCCAAGCGGCCAGCATCCCCCTCTGCACCTCTCAGGGCCATAAATTCACTCTTGATGGGCTCCTATTACTTGTTTAACAGCAAACGGTGCTCCAGGTTGTAAGGTACATGGGCTGCTGCGACAGCCACTTGGTAAGATGTCCTAACTTGGTCTGAGACTATTTGCAGGGTGGGTATCTCCCAGCTCAGGGTACACAGACAACATTAGAAAAAATATCCCATCAAATTCACGAGTGCAGGGAGCTGGCAGGTAAAGATTGCTTTTCCCACAGCAAAACTGCAGGGGAGATGGTTTATTTAGCAGGATGGCACTCAACGTAAATGTTTGGAGAGTGTTTTAAAGGCGACTTTGCAACAAGGGGAGCTCTCTCCCTTAATTTCTCCTTTGGAAAGACCATATCTAACCATGGTAAGGATGGAAGCCAGCACACATGAGCACCCCAAGGCTATTCCCCCTGTCCTGAGAACAGCCAGTATTTCCGTCAGATCATTGAAGGAAACCTGAAGAGTTTGATTTATGTATGCTGTCTGCTTCTACTGAGACTCAGCAGAGAATGGAACGGCCAATTAAAGATGCAATCAAGCCGCCAAAGACAAGGAAAGCTGATGGAAAAGCCACCAGGCTGTTTTCCACCCTGCCTGTCCCAGTGATACACAGAGATGCAGACAGGGGCTCAAACAGGACAGCTTCCCCGGGCTTGGATTTAGCATCTGAGAGAACATATGCAGCCAAAGAAAAAGGAAAATGAAAGACGAGGGCATCTGGACCAGAACCTGGTGTCTACTCCCTGCTAGAATTGTGTGTTCACCCTCCCTTGGTGCATCTGAAACCCCAAACCAGGCTTTGAAGCAGGCATCTCCCAGAGCACAAGTGTTCACTGTAGCATCATGTTTCTCCTCAGCTGCGGGGAAGATGATCTGGGCAAAAAAAATAGGATCTAGCTGAGCTGATACACTCCAAAACAACGGTGCATTTGTTTGAAGGCAGGGAGTACCCAGCGTGAAAATACAGCCGTGCCCCATGTGTCGTCACTACAGCTGCTCAACGCTGCTCAAAAGCGGGTTGAGAAGAGACATGTTCTGGACAAGGCAACATGGAGAAGCTCTGCCTTCTCACAGTGCCTGCCCGTGGCTCAGCCTCGCATCTCCCAGCCTGTACCATGGGCAGAGCCTCAAAAGCAAGCACTGGTTTTCTTTCTGGTGGGAAGGGGAAGTGAAAAGCAGATGGAAACCATCTTTCAAAGCTGCAAAAGTGGTATTTTTTTTTCCATTTTGTCAGCAGTGCTGAGGCATCCAAACCAGAGCTGTGCTGCAACCCAAGAGCTAGCAGCAGGCAGGACATCACACCTTCATCCCCACCAGCTAGGAATGCCCCAGCATTGTAGCTTATCCAGGGGAAGGTCTGATCTTGAATTTTCTCCCTTCTCAAGACCCCAGAAATCATCTCTCTGACCCCCCGCAGCGTCAAGGATGGTACTGCTGCCAGGGCTGGCCTCTCTGGGCAGCAGCACAGGCAGCAGTTCCTGTCCAGTGCTCCCTCCGCACAGCAAAGCCAGCTTTGTACCTTACCACCACCTTGCATGCCTTCCGGTGACAGCGAAGCCATTACATATCCTAAAACACATCCCAAGGGAAAAACAGGAGGTGGCAGCAATCCTTCTTCTCCCTGAAAGGTCCAGGGCTCCTGTTGCTGGGGTGCCAGCAGTGACATGCACAGGACAAAGCTCAGGAGCCCTGTGGCTGGGAATGCCGGTGCAAGACAGACCAGCCAGAAGCACCCTCAGCTCCACATTCCCGAGGTGGTGCAGCATCTCCCGCATCTCAGACTGGAGACTCAGAAGGACCTGCTGGGTCAGCTGAGTATCCAAAAGCCAGAATTGCCTTGGAGATCACATCCCAGCTGCAACCTGCAGGACGATCAACCTCCAGCCTCCAGTCCTGCCATCTTCTTCCATCAACTTGCTCCTGAACCTCCGACCCTCCTGCCCAGCCTGGGAGCAAGGGAGCTGGGAGCAAGGAGGGACTGGGACACAGAGATGGTGAAAACAAGTCTTAGCCCTGGCTTTTTTAGGAGAGAAGAGTGTGATGTGACGGTCTGCATGCCCCAGAGAGCAGTTTCATCATCCTTTGCCACTGATACATTTGAGACTGAACTCAAAAGGGGTCATTTCTCCATCCCTTGCCCACCTGGTGCCCAGCAGCTACACCTGCATGTCCCTAAGGAAGGCTTCCACCACGGCATGCTGTGCTGGAGCAGCCTTCCCAAGTGCTCTCCAGGGGTAATGCTGGGGGCGAGAAACCAATGTGTAGGAGTCTCCCAGACTGCAAAAGCCTCAACCAAATCTCAGCTGGAGTTTAAAAGGGCAACACTTCTTCCAAGCAGGCAAAACATTTCTCTTGCAAAACCTCCCAATCCTCCAAACTTCCTGATTGCTCTGTGTTTACAGGATGTCTAAGAAGCGGCTGGCACCTTGTTTGCCATCGCGTAACCCTTCCCGGCGTAGCCCGGAACTCAACTTGCCACCCTGCGGGTTACAGCTCAGCGCAGTGGCATCCTCAGCTCGACAGAACCGTAGGAGCAGCTTGTCAAGTGTTTCTACGAAGCACGAGAGACAAGCAGAGAGAAGTGTTAAGAAAACTGTGGCTTAATTAATTGAAGCTTGCACCTCTCCCCCTTTCCTCAAAGTGAGACTTTGCAGATCCGTAACCTGCCAGATAGGCTGTTAATGTCCCCGGAGCGGGGCTGGTGGCACGTCACAGCTCTGCTGCCTTTTTTTTTTTTTATCTGGCATGGAGGATGGAGCTGGAATAAGGATCCCTGCTCAGAGAAATGATGAAACTCAGCCCAGATATCCACTGTAATAGGATCAAATGGGAATTTTGGGCCCACAGGAACATCAGAGCAGTACAACAAGAGTTGGTAGAAACAGGCTATGAAAGGCACATGGAAATTGCAGCTCCATGGCCGAAATAAGTCTGCACCAGCCAGCCAGCCTGGACCCTTTTCAATGACTACAGCATCCTCCTGCATCCCAGGATCCTTTTCCAAGGCAAGCTTCGCAGCCTGGGGTAAAGTGAGGGACATGAGTGGGCTTCTTGGATCACCTAAGCCAGCACCAGTATCTGTCCCCCCTCGCCCCCACCCATGGGCTTGAGCGGAGCATGGCAAATGGCTGCCGAAACCCCCGGTGCATCCCCAAGCGCTTACTGGCAGTTCATGCCGTTCCCATTGCTTGCATGGCCATGCTATAAATCAACCAAGACAGGCAATTAGGGATCTATATTAAGGCCCTTATAAATATATATTGTATAGCAGGCTGGAACATTCAGGCCGTCTGGCTGCTTGATGGGCTGAGCTGTCTCGAGACCTACAGTGGCCAAGGTGTCCCCAGATTGCTCTGGGGGGGCCTGGCAGACTCAGACACAAACTTGGCTTTTCCTACCTTGGCCACAAAGTGCCGAACTTCACCCTGGCATAAAACGCAACTTCCACTAATTTACCATAATTGGTTTCAAACTGGCCTTAATTAAAACCGGTGCAGACTTGCTTAACTCCATTTAAACCAAATTTAAATAAGATTGGACCAGAATTGATTCCTTTCCGAAGCAAGCTAAAGCTGGGTAAGCTGTTTAAAGAGTATCCACAAGGGTATTTGCAGTGGTTTAGCTAAAATGATTTACCGCAATACTTAATTGAAGCAATTTCAGCTCGGATATACGGAGGGCAAGCTAAGAGCTGGCGGGGCCAAGCATCCTTCCCACCCGAGCGCCTTCCCCGGGGCATCACGTTTCCAG